ACAACTTCGAGGAGGGAATAGTACACGCCGCCGCTGTGCTGCTTCAGTTGCAAAGAATTTGAATGGGCTTGCAGTTTTGTGTATGTTTTGTGCGAGATGTTTTTATTTCTGAGGAATTTGCAACCCACATTTGAACTACATTTGGAGTGCACAGAATATGGGGCACGTACAGTGTCGTAGGCAGTGAGCATAACTGCGCATTCCAGTGTTCGTAAACGATCATGGAAGAGTAAGGCGCTGGATTAAATAGGGCGTGGAAATGGAGTACAAGAAGTAGCAGTGATGCTTCACTTTAATGGATAGGAGGGAGATGCCTAGAATATTCGTAGAGTATCGTAAGAGTTCAGCTAGCTTATAAATTCCAGTGCTGGAAAACGATTTTTGACTAATAAAAGGCTTGAAAAAAAGCTTAAAGAATGTTTTTTAACACCTCGTAAAGGTGTTAGGTGTAAGGTGTAATTTAGGTACAGAAAATCCACAAAATATATTATCGATACATGTTTAATTTTTGTAGGAAAACATACATTCAGTACTCACTCATTGATTCATTTTGGCCCATCAGCATCATTGTGGGACTCTCGCCATCGACCACCAGAGCCTCGTTATCGGAGTCATTGTTGTCCTCGACTCGTGTGGCGCCCGGCACATAGGTGTCCTGGCTGAGGTTAATGCTATCCGTGCCCACGCTGGAGGCGGACGAGGCAATGCCCACATCAATGTACTCATCCTCTGGATCCAACCTCAACCTTTTGGCCGCCGAACTGCAGCTGGGAATATCGTCGGGGTCAAAGTCTCTGAGGGTTACGGCCGCCGGTACGGTAGTGCCGCCCATATTAGCCTCCTAAAGTTGTAAACAACAAAAATATCATTAAAAGAAACAAAACAAGTTATATTTTTTAATGTTAAAATGTAAAACAGAACAATCAAATCAATTAGCATTTTAATGGACAACGGAAGTGAGATATCCTCTGCTGCCTCTGACTCTGCCTCTGCTGCGTATCTTCCAAAAGGTTCTCCTCTCTCTCTCTCTCTCTCGTTTATAATTTATGCAAAGATATCTTGTATCTGCTGCTATCTTCCCCCTCGTTGATGGAATTTTTCTTTTCTTTTGCATATGGCATAAAAATCATTCAACCCAAGAGACTTGAGTTATGGCTAAAACCCTTTTGCTTGAGGGTGGAATAGGCGGTCGGGTCTGGCCTGTCTCTTAGTAATTGCCATGCTTGAGGAAATTGTTTCGTTTCGGAAGTAGGGTAAAGAGTTTTGCATACATTTTGCCCAGATTTTGATGGGCTGCAGAGAAGAACAGTAGCAATTTTCCAACATGAACTTAAGGGCTTGTTAAAGTGTTTAAAGATTAATGGTTATAGGCAGGCAGTAGTAGAACTTTAAATGGGGGGAAGCAAGAGGCAGCGCTTAAAGGAAATTAGTTGAAAATTCATCACTGATTAAATGGGAAATTAAATGCTGATTAAATGGTTGCAAAATGAATGTTGAAAGTATGGAAAATGGAAGCATAAATATTAGATGGAAAAACCCATAATAATAAGTTACATTTCCTAGCCATATTAACACAAAATAAAATCTGTTTAAAGTACTTTCAAATACTTTAATTTGGTTAGACTTTTACCCAAAAAAAATTCATTTTAAATTTCCCCCCATCAATATACCCAACAAGGCATAGCGCCCCTCCTGACACTTAAATGATATGCCATTATATCTGTATCTAAGAGAAATTTAAAACCGTTTCAATAATGACACACAAACAGAACAGAAATCAGTTCCAAATGAATTGCCACACGCCGCAGCAAGTGATCGAAGGAAAGCAAAGCTCTGCTCTATACTTGAACTTCTAAACATCGTAAATGAATTGATAAAAAAAGGCGTACAGAAAGAGAGCCACGACTGCTGCGTGCCATTATGTATCTACTTACTGGATGGTGGTATATGAACTTGAGAGGACCGGCACTTACCTAACACACAGAGCCAGGGCCAGAGCCAGTGCCAGAGCAAGAGCCAGGGCCATTGGCATAGAAGGAAGAACCAAAAGAAGAGACTACTACCAATACTACTGCTGCGACTACGTCAGGCAGCAGACCATAATCAGTGTTCCATTGAACGCACAAAATCATTTAGCGAAACCAACAAAAACAACAACAGAAAATCTAAAGAAGAGTCAGAGCCCGAGCTGGAAATGGAGTTGGAGTTGAAGTTGTAGCTGCACCCCAAAAAGCACTTGAAACTGTTTTTTTTTTTGAAAAGAGAGTCTCCGTCTCCGACTGCGACTGCGAGTCCAAGTAGGGTAAGAGCAAAGTGTTTTGCTTTTTGGAGAGCGCGGCAAGGGAAGGCAGAGAGAGAGAGAGAGAGAGAGAACAGCACTTGGATGGATGAATGAATATACGCGGGCAACTCTTCGCTGCAAGTTCAAAGCACGCTGCTTGGTAGGCTGTTGGTAAGTAGTAGCATCAGACCAAGACCAGAGCCCAAGACGATGAGTTTGGAGTTTTGTAGCAAATTGAATTGTCTTTGTGTTGCATGAATCACGTGACCATGACCATCACAGCACAGCACAGCACTGCATAGATATCCAAGAACAGAAACAAAAGCAGCGTAGCGTCCCAGGTCGGTCTCTCTCTGCCTCTCTCTCGCTCTGTCTGTATATGGCAGTGGCAGTGGCAATTTGAACCTCACTCAAAAGATCATTTACTTTCATTAGGGAAGCGAAGAGACTGAAGACCGGCAAACAGGCGAACAGGCGAAACTTGTCGTGCAGCGAGCAAGTGCAAACTTGGTCTAATAAACAGCCATTAGGCTGAATCCATGGATCATGCATGAAAGTGGATACGATCCGATCCCAGCTGCAAATCAGATCCCTCACCTTATTGGGATGTCGTCGTTTGCGTTCGCTTTGGCTTTGGCCAGATGCTGCCGCTGCTGCCACAGGAATTGGCGAGGATGTCGCTGTGGCTGTGGATGTTGGCTCCTGTAGCTTGGCCTCTTGATTATCTGCAACCAAAAAATAGTTCTATAAATAGTTGCATATTTTAGTTAGTTAGTTGGCGAAACTTACATTTCAATTCAATTTCCTCATCATCCAGTAGCAATGAGACCACTTCCTTGGGCTTGAGGGTGTCTGGCTTGAAATTGCCGCCACTTATGACCATTCGTTGGATCTGTAAACACAAACACACAGCAATATATTATTCAAGGCAGGAAATGAGGGGATAGCGCCGCAAAGTACTTTTAAATGGTAATCAAGAAGGGATTTCTGAAACCAATAAATGCACAAGAAATGCCTCAGAGCTGTGAGCGGGGAGGGGGGATTACTTTATAGAGAACGCCGCAGGCGTAACCAAAATGTCGCCTAACCAATTGTATAATTAATTTCCGGTGTTGGTTTACCAACGGCCAACCAGAGCTCGTGTTTCGGCGCAACAATGCCCCGCGATCCTCAACAAAAGCACGTGCCTAATATGCGGCAATATACAAAAAGGAAAACCTCAAAGCAAACACACACACACACACGCAAGAGAGTTTTGCGGTTTTCTCTCTCTCTCTGTCTTCCTTCCTCACCTCACTCTTCTCTCTGGCTCGCTGCAGAATCCGCTCCTCGATGGTGCCCTTGCAGATCAGTCGGTAGACAGTCACCTGTTTGGTTTGGCCCAAACGATGTGCACGATCCATGGCCTGTTGATCGACCGTGGGATTCCAGTCCGAATCATAGAAGATGACCTGCAAAATAAAGGGGAGGAATATATATATTAGAATAAAGGTTTAATTTGCAGTTGCTTTGAGGGTTTAGCCTTGAAATAAGGCTAGCTCCCTTAGCTCTGTAATAGAGGTTTCCTATCCAGAATTCTCTTAAATAATTATGTATGCAAATGCTTCCTTCTTCGCTGCTTCTTTGATCAATGAATCGAATCCATTGCCTGCATATTTGATTGTTTCGAATGTTCCATAAACCACTTTGTCGTGTCACGAATGCCTACGCGTTTCCTCTGTCCTCTCTTCCGTCTTTTATCTGGAGTAGGAAAAACCATTCACCAACCCTCCTTCCTCCATCCCCCCGTAACCCTTCAATCGAGCGCTACTGCACTTGGTACGTGTTCGGGCCGTGCAAGTGTTCCAGCAGCAAAATTTCTTCTGTTCAGTTCAGTTCAGAGTTCAGGGGAGTGGCATTTCCGGCCCAAAAGATGAGTCTAATTAAAAAACGAACTCCTTAGGGGCTTAGATATGTGTGTAGTTTTCTTGTTATTTGGAACACGTGTTCAGGCACACAAAATAAAAGAGGGGCAGGAAGTTCTCTATTGAATGGAAATCTATTCTTTATCCAGATATTTGTCTATTGAATGTGGATTTTCATGAAGGAGTTTTCAAGGGAAGTCTGTCATTAGGAGCATATCGCAAAAGGCTTCTAAGATATTTGCATAAATTTGCTTCAAGAGTGCAGAAAATTATTGGCAATGGGATTGTTTGATTTGTTAGATTTTATGTTGCATTTTTATCGGATTTTATATGGAAGATCTTTGTATTATATTGAGTCAAAAAAATATGGTGTTTGTGGTTTTCCTCACCCTCATGGAATCCAGCCATATATAAAGATTTAAAGGCATACAATGGGCATATTTCTACATTAAAAAAGTGCAATAAAATGCTGGCAAATATCACCAATATTATCGCCGCGTAAACAGCTATCAAAAATCAACTAATTAATAGTTTGGTGCTACAAAACGCGACTATAACCCTTATCGTATGAGGCCATTACCATTCAAGTGCCACAAATTGAGTGGAATGAAAGCAACAATCAGTGGATGGTTAATCGAAGCAACACTCGTTCCGAGGAAACTCGCTCGCGATAAGGCGGCAACGCCGCATGAGTTTTCGCCTAACTACAATCTACTAGCCCATTTAACAATAGCATTATTTAAGGGGCTTAAAGAATACCTAATTAACTGCCCGCAAAACGATAAGATTTGGCTTTGAGCTAAAGCACATTCTAGCACTGGAATTAGTTGCATTTCAACAGTCGACAATGAAGCTCTGGCTGGGTATCACTTTAGTGGCTCTGGCGCTGGCCCTTGGCCAGACGCAGGCCAGTATCTTTGAGAGCACCTTCAAGAGGCTGCATGGAGAGCCGCCGCTGCCCACCAATCAGAATCGTGCGGATGTGGTGCAAACTTTGTGGATCGAACAGCAATTGGATCACTTTGATGACGCAGAGCAGCGCACCTGGCAAATGGTATACCGCAGAGAGATTAGATCTTGCATAATTCCGAGAGTTTTACACTTAATTTTGTGTATTTTTTTTGCAGCGCTATATGCTGAATGATGCCCTGTATCAATCGGGTGGACCTTTGTTCATTTATTTGGGCGGAGAATGGGAGATCTCAGCGGGCAGAATCACTGGCGGACACATCTACGACATGGCCAAGGAGCATAATGCTCTGTTGGCCTACACAGAGCATCGGTATTACGGCCAGAGCAAACCCTTGGAGTGAGTGAAGCCTGCAAACTCTGGAAATATTCCATATTCTCAACCATTTCTTGGCTTTTTCAGCGATCTCTCCAATGACAATATAAAATATTTGAATGTCAAACAAGCCATCGAGGATTTGGCTGTCTTTATCGGATATCTGAAGGCCAACCATGCGGGTCTGTCCCAGTCCAAGGTCATCATTGTGGGTGGCTCGTACTCGGCCACAATGGTCACGTGGTTCAAGAAGGTTCATCCCGATCTAGTGGCCGGTGGCTGGGCCTCCAGTGCGCCGCTGCTTGCCAAGGTTAACTTCGTGGAATACAAGGAAATCACCGGCCAGTCCATCGCTTTGATGGGTGGCTCTGCCTGCTATAATCGCATTGAAAGTGGCATTGCCGAACTGGAGACAATGCTCGCAACCAAACGAGGAGCTGAGGTCAAGGCTCTGCTGAAACTCTGCGAACGCTTTGATGTCTATAGCGATCTGGATGTTTGGACATTGTTTAGCGAGATTTCGGATATATTTGCAGGCGTTGTGCAGACACACAAGTGGGTTAAATATGGATCCTCCGAATCGTGTTTATAGCTATAACTTTGTTGTGCTACTTTTTAGTGCTGGTCAGATCGAAAGCGTTTGCGAGAAGATTTTGTCGGGCTCGAGTGATCTAATTGGTGTCGCCAGCTACTTGCTGGATGTGTTTGAGGAGAGTGGCGGCAAGTGCAATGACCTGAGCTATGATGCCATTCTGTCAGTGCTGCTGGACACCAGCTACACGGGGAATATCAGTGAGTGAGAGTCACATTCTATGGATAAATCTAATCTCTTGCTCTTGCTCTTGCGCTTAGTGCGTCAGTGGATCTTCCAGACCTGCAACGAGTACGGCTGGTATCAGACCTCTGGCTCCAGGGCTCAGCCTTTCGGCACCAAATTCCCCGTGGCTCTGTACACCACCATGTGCGGGGATATCTATGGATCGCAGTACGGCAACGAGTTCATCGACAGCCAGGTGGCTGCCACAAACGAATACTTTGGCGGCTTGACACCCGGCGTGGAGAATGTCTACTTGACCCATGGCCATTTGGATCCATGGCGTGCAATGGGCATTCAGGATGCAGCTCAGGCCACGGTTATACCCGGTAAGGAGAGGCCTGTTTGAGCTTTTGGGAAGTGTAACCATAAATGGTTTCGCCTTTATTGCAGAGTATGCCCATTGCAAGGACTTCAATTCGATCAGTGACAGCGACACAGCGGAGATGAGAGCCTCCAAGGAACGCATTGCCGAATTGGTCAGGGAATGGATTAAGTAATGGATCAAACAGAATATACATGGAATATTTAAGTTGAATAAATAAATATAAATATATAAATAAATAAAAATAAATAAAATAGGGAATTCCATTGAGTGTTTTAGATTTATGAGGGTGCGTGAATAACCTCATAGATAATGCATATCAGACAATGATTACTATACTCAACTCTCGGCCACATGCCGCTTTGTCATTTGCTGCGATTTCTTTCCACTATTTTCTAATGCCACAAAAGATTCACCTGACGCTAGATCGATTTACAATGGCACACAAATATAGCTAGTACCCTCAAATCGTAGATTTTTTCATGTCCATGGGTCACTTATCAGTTGGCTAATATTTACGATCCACGCCTTATCTTGATGGCTGACTGCTGGTGTGTCCGGTTACCTTAAAACGGGAATGTCGATCAAGTTTCGAATTCATTTCTGTAGAATGTCTGCAATTCGTTTGGCTGTGGCGCTGCTGCTGCTGCTGTGCGCTGCTGTCGCCCAAGGACTCGACGCGTCCGAGGATGTCCCACTGCTGGTCAAGACGCTGCAGAATTTGAATCGTGGCCCACCCAAACAGACCGTGCTGAAGCGCGTCAATGTCCAGGAGAAATGGATCACACAGCAATTGGATAACTTCGATGATGCCAATACAGAGACCTACGAAATGGTAGGTTCAGGGACAGCAAGGAGTCGTCCAAGGATAAATTTTCAACGCAGGTTTTGGGTATTCTTTGCAGCGTTATCTGCTGAACGATGAGTTCCAGGAGGAGGGCAGCCCCATCTTCATTTATTTGGGCGGCGAATGGGAGATCGAACCGAGCATGATCAGTGCTGGACACTGGTACGATCTGGCAGCGGAGCACAAGGGTGTCCTGGTCTACACCGAGCATCGCTACTACGGCGAGAGTGTGCCCACAGCGTAAGAGTTCGTACAGAGGGATTTTCCCTTTCATTTGTATTTAATATTAGGTGACTTTTCAGTACCATGTCCACGGAGAACCTCAAGTATCTGCACGTGAAGCAGGCCCTCGCCGATGTGGCCGCTTTTATCAAGTTCTTCAAGGCGGAGCATCCGCAGTTGGCCAACTCGAAGGTGTTGCTGGCAGGCGGCTCCTACTCCGCCACCATGGTGGTGTGGTTCAAGCGTCAGTATCCCGATCTCGTGGAGGGTGGCTGGGCCTCCAGTGCCCCGCTCTTGGCCAAGGTTGCCTTCACCGAGTACAAGGAGGTGGTGGGTCAGGCCTTCCTGCAGTTGGGCGGCCAAAAGTGCTACGATCGCATACAGAATGGCATTGCCGAGCTCGAGTCCATGTTCGACAACAAACGTGGCGCTGAGGCACGTGCCATGCTGCGATTGTGCAACAGTTTCGATGATAAGAACGATCTGGATATGTGGTCTCTGTTTGGCAGCATTTCAAATGCCTTTTCAGGAACCGCACAATATCAAAGGTGGGTCCCTCCATTGGATAAAACTTATCATGCTTTATCTTTATGATGCTTTTTCTTTATCTTTGTAGAGCTGGCGACATTGAGTACTATTGCAATTATTTGTTGAGCTTCAGCGATGATGCCACGGCCATTGCCAATTTCGCTTACTGGGCCTGGGGCATGCCCTCTTGCATCGATGCTACGTACTCCAGCACCGTGGAGTACTACCTCTGGGCTGTGAATAACTTTGATGCCGGTCGTCCCTGGTATTATCAGACCTGCAATGAGTACGGCTGGTACCAGACCTCGGGCTCCAGGAACCAACCCTTCGGCACCAAGTTCCCCACCGCCCTGTACACCACCCTCTGTGCGGATGTCTTCAGTTCGCAGTTCAGCAACGAGCAGATCAACAACAATGCCGCCCAGACCAACGTGGACTTTGGTGGCATGTCGCCGGATGTGGAGAACGTGTACATGACACATGGCGCCCTGGATCCCTGGAATCCCATGGGTCATGGCGTGGCCGAGGGTGCCACACTCATTGCCGAGGCCTCGCACTGTGCGGACTTTGGTTCGATTTCGGCCAACGATTCCGCAGAGATGAGAGCCTCCAAGGAGCGTCTGGCAGTGCTGGTGCGCGAATGGTTGGCCTAGGAGCCCATTTTGGGCCAGCAGAAAATTAAGTCTTTGCTTATACAATAAAATATAAAAATTCTGAATAAATTACGCCCAAAAGTATGCAGCAAAAAGGGGCCTTAGATTATGTGAATTATGGGAAATCATTCGGCAGTAAGCGTTCCACCTGAGGCTCCCAGGGGCTCAATCACACGCTAGCTAAAAGCGGAGCTAAATCAGCTATTGAGAGGATAAGATAATTTGGCGATTTTTGTTTACGTGGAGCCATGACTAGTATCGACACTTAAACTCATGTAAGTTAATTAAATCCCAAAGCAAATATTGCATTGAGTTGGTCAACAGTTTACTGATTGAGCATTTAATGGACAACACAAGCATGAGAACGAGTTGGGTTCGATAAGCGCCAGCTTATGCAGCACTTGTCCTTAACAAAGAACTTGAGAATTCGAGGGGTAGAGGAGAGAGAAAGAGGGAGAATCAGCTACGCTTGAACCTTCATTGTTTGCTCCCATCCGATGAGCAAATATCAACAATTCTATTAGATTTATAGAGCATACAATAAAGATCGCAAGCGTCTGTCTCTTTCCTCTGCTCTCTGTGGTTTATTTGCCAAATATGATGCAATAAAAATAACGAATTTATGTGCCCCACAAATCCATCAAAATCCAACCAACCAAAAGGTGTGACCACTCGGACAACAGTCAGTCGCTCACGGACATAGGAACCCCAAAGCCAAACCGAACAGAGCAATGGAAATGGAAGAGATCACCCCATGAATTGCACTAAATTCCGAAACGTGAGGGGAATATCCCAACAACCAAAGACAATGTCATAAATCTTTGTGAGCCCCGAAACCGAATCCAGTCACGCATTATAATGATCCGATTGCAGATCAGAAAGCAGACCACAAATACGCGTACTATCCGTACTTGCTTATAAATAGCTCTTAAATACCATTTACTGGTGCGGCCCTCTGATATCACTTTGAATGGCTGAGTGGTACAGTTTTCTCTGCCTCCTTCTACCCAGAGACTCGGGTCTGTTCTGGTCTGGTTTTGGTCGGGTCTGGTCTGGTCTGGACGTTGAAGAAATGCCAAAGTGTTGAGTTTTTGGTCAAATTATTTTGGTATGCGCCAAAGACATGAACGGGAAATACTTTTAAAATACGTTTCAGGGAAGAGGTGCGCAAGGGGTTCCACGGGGGATTCGGTTCTGTTCTGTTCTTTTCGCTGGTGAAAAGAAATAAAAATAAAAATTCTTGCCATATTTCCAAAGGGTTTTTGTGGTTTTGGTTTACCGCCGAACGGACGGTAGGAAAAGGTTAATTGTTGTATCGATCAGATCAGGTCATATATCTTTTGTTGTGCGAGATTAGGGAATTTGAATGGAGAAAGTTGCAGGCAGTTGCCAACGAGGCAACTTCCCTTTGTGATCAGATCCGCCCTCCGAAACGATACAAAATACCAACAACGAATTAGTCAGAAGGAAGAAGACGGCAGCATAGCTTGGAGCCTGAGAACCTGGCAATAAAATGACAAAAGCTGCAGCAGCAGCGGGCAAAAGGCTGAAAGCAAATTACTCACGGGACAGGCATCGCGGGGCTGTGGCAAATAACAAATCAAAATCAGTGACAAAATGATTTAGGAACCACGCGAAAATGTTCACACGAAGCAGCAGCAGAGAGAGCCACAGAGGCACAGCAGCGTCACAGTCGTAGACGGAGACGGAGACGGGAGTCCAAAAAGAAATCAAAGAACCGCACAAATCGAACAAGAAGTGCTGCTGCCTGCTGCCTGCTCCATGCCTCTTGTTGCTGCTGCTGAGAGGCAGCAAAACATGCAAAGATTCTGTTCGATTTGGTATCCTTTTTGGCTGAGAATTTGTGGGGGCATTTGCTTGGTGGCTACTCATTGTTACGCGATGATAAAGATCATCTGAGTAAATCATGGGCCCGGCGGCCCCTCCTCACTGCCTAAATGCTGTGCTGTGTGCAATGCATGAACAAGTAGTTCGAGCAAATGGCATACACAGTACAGGGTCCCCCCTTTCCACCCACCACCGTCTCAGTGCACTCCTTCAGATTTTTCTACAATTATTCTGCCACAGGCTACAGTGACAATCAATGCATATAAGACAATGGCAGAGGAGCTCGGCCCCCAAAAAAGGGTTATTAAACTTGTCTACTAATAGCAAATATTTTCCATTTGTTATACATAAATTGTGTGCATTATTTGCAACTTCCATTGCTGTTAGAGTTATTCCTCGGCAAGCAGACAGACTGCTGAAGAAAAGGATGTTCCTGACCGAAGCTTCAGTCCGAGAATTCAATACAAAAAAATACACGTAATGTGGGGGATACCCCGGGATCTCTGCTCAACTCGAGTGGCTGATAAGGTTTCTTATTTTCTGTTGCTTAAAAATCATGATTCAGCGCTGCTTTACAGCTATGAATCGCACTGTTTGTGGCTGACATTGACTGATATTTATTGTTCAATTGAACACACATTTCTAGGGAATCCACTTTGACCATAATCAATTCACTTAGTGGAGATCTCAAGTTGTGTTTTAGAGGGAATTCTTTGAGAATTATCTGTACTAGAAGTGTTGCTATATACTCTTCCATATAAGAGGCATCCATATTGTTTATAATTTGGAACTGGAATGTCATTAAAGAAGGCTGCATTGAAGAGGTGCATTCTGCTGCTACAAACCGCTTGCTGATCTCTGGAGAGAAGAGCAGAATGGGCGCACTACTCTACAGAGATTCTTATTGCAATAGAGCTTGGGACTCATGTATACCCTCCTTCTTTATGGTAAAGGAGGATTACCACTGGCCTGCCTACTTTTTGCTTTACTCCATTAAACTGCTTAAATTTTAATGCATCAAAAACTGCTCAATAACTGACGAGATGACAGTGAGAATCACTGCTCCATACACACATTGTCATACACCTTGAATATGTCGCCATCCAGCTTGAGTTCCTTCACGAACTCCACGTAGCGTTTGTGGTGGCGCGGGGAGAGCGTAACCAGAGGCTCCTTGGGGCAATGGCCGATTTCCGTGTGCTGGATATTGTAGCCGCATTGCTTCAGTTTGGCCGCCACATCGGCCACATTGGCGGACGGACACTTGAAGACCACGGAGCCATTTTCATAGTCGGTTATAGTGCCGGCAGTGGCCTTGCACCAAAGGGCATCCGTCTGGACGGTTTGGTTGAAGTCCGAGAAATTGAGGCGCGTCTTGCGTGGCACCATGGCCTCGATGAGGCCCGTTTCGGTGAACAGATTGCGATTGTAGAAACGCGCCTTGTGGCGCGTCAGCATGGGGGCCAGCCGCTGCTTCAGCTCGGCGAGATTCTGCGTCCGAGCCTTGCAGACGAGAGCCACCTCCCTCACATTGTAGTCCATGGGCACGATGAAGGTGGTCTGATTCCGTTCGTAGAGCTCGCACTCCTTGAGTATCCGCTGGATGCGGCTGTAGGGCAGCTGCAGCGGCGACAGCTTGGCCTTCAGCGTGTAGTTCTGCGCGGGATCAGTGGAGCCGCCACCGCGATGCACCGCCAGCCGCAGTTCGTGGGCCACCTGCACCTCCTTGGGGGTATCCGGATCGAATTGCATTTCTTTTGTGCTCGATGGTGTGATGAAGGAACACTTTGGGCTCAACTTACTCTTGCTATGCGCTCCCTTGCCACTTTGCGTCGTCGTATCGTACGGCAGATTCCAACGCACTCGCTTGCCTGCCCCTGTAGCAGCCGCAGCAGCAGCCAAAGACTCCTCGATTGAGTCCCCATCGAGCCCGTTCCGCTTGTCCGGCTCCTGCTTGGGCGAGGAGCTGCGCACCAGGGAGGGCCGGGACACGTGCGGCCTCATGCTGGCATTCAAATGCGGCAGTGCCTTCGGTTTGCCGCTGGCCATTGTAGTTAGTACTTGTAATTTTGGTATCAGAAACGAATGTTGATCGAGAGTTGGGTTGGGTTGGGCGTGGGGTTGGGGTTGGGATATGAATGAATGAAGGGAATTTCACAGGGCACACACACACACACACACAGATATTATATTTAGTCTATCCACTCACCGTGTCTGCTGCTGTTAGATTAATGCCCAGTCCGCCTGCACGCGTGGAGAGCAGAAATACAAAGATGTCCGCACGCGTCTGAAAATCAGCGACCATGTCACGACGCGCCGAGATCTTGCTGGAGCCATCCAAGCGCATATAGCGATGCTTGCGATGCCACATGTACTCCTGGTAACCAATAACAAATCATTCAAGGATTCAAGGCAATCCCTGAAGGCAAGCAAAACTCACCTCTAGCAGGTCTATCATTTTGGTCATCTGCGAATAGATGAGCACGCGATGGCCCTCGGCCTTGAGCCGTGTGAGCAGTGTGTCCAGTACAAACAGCTTGCCCGCATCGGTGATCAGCGTCTCCTTGTCGGGCACCACAATCGAGGACCAGCCACTGCGTGGCCTGCACAGGGCCAGGCCGGAGGAGACGAGCTCTCTGCCCAGACCATTCTCGCACTGCACATGGCGTATCTGTGTCCAGGCAGCAGCACGACTCTCGCAGCTAAAGGTAATAGTAAAGTCAGTAAGCCATTTATGTGATGAATTTGTTTGGGGGAATCACTCACTATAAATGCCTATCCACGGCCTGTACGCGCTGGCCCAAGGCATAGAGCAGTCGCGGCATGGACAGCGGCTCGCAGTGGTAGCTCCTGGGCTTGCGCAAGCGATGCGGAAACTCTGGCAACAGCATCAAAGTTTGCACCTTTACATCGCTCTTGGCATTCGATTTGGTTTGCACTTCCACGGACTCTATTTCGAGCTCCTGCTTGACCTGCTCCTCCACCTCCACATCCACCAGCTCCTCAATCAGTGTGGCTGTCTTTTGTTTGAGTTCCTTGGAGCGTATCACGCGATGTTCAATGGTCTCCTGCATGTTGTAGGTGCAGTAATCCCCAAACGCATAAACGCTGCTCTCATTGGTCGTCTAAAGGGGCAAGAGGTTTAAGGATTTCGATCCACAAATAAACGATGTGACACCTACCATGGCTGTGAAGAGGAAATTCTTAAGTACACTGTCCGAGAGCATAAATTGCGGCACCAGTTTCTGCTCCAGCATGGGCTCCAGCAGCTGATAGAAGCTGGCTCTGAGTTGTGGCCACCATTGGCGGCGATATGCCAGCAGAGGATATTTCTCCAGCACACGACGATGATGCAAAAGGCTGTAAGGGAAGAGGAGTACATGTAGCAGATCCCTTCCACTTCTTTGGCCCTTAGTCAGCTTACAAATCAATCAATCCATGGAGCGTGACATCTAGTATATCGCCCAATGAAAGGTCACAGAAACGCGTAAAGCCAAAGCAGCTCTCAACGCTCACATCCTCGAACAGGGATCGCTGGATGTGCTCCGACTTGAAGATGTTGAATCTATCAGAAGGAAAGCAGAATATAAATAAATATACATATATATAACCAACTTCATGGAGCTTCTACGCACCGATTGTACAGCAAATGCCGGCGACTGGGCAGCGCTCTGTGTGGCAGTGTCTCCTCGTACACAAGACGCGGCACCACATACTCCGCACAGCGCATGAAGAACGGACTCCTGGCATCGCGACGCTCAAAGAGCTCCGGATGGTTGCACACCTTGCGGAACTGCATCACCAGATTCATTAGGTTGGAGGACGCAGCCGATGGAGCACTGGAGCCGCTCGTCAAGTGCAGCAGATCCTCGATGCGTATCTTCTGCTTGAGGGCGCGATAGAGCAGCTTCTGGCGTATGGTCAGGGGGCAGTAGACCATTATCTCGATCTTGTCGGACAGCTCGTTCTCCACATCCTTCTTGATGCGACGCAGCATGAACGGCTTGAGGATCATGTGGAGGCGGGAGATCTGCAGCTCGTCGATGCCCGTCTTGTTCTCGGCGTGCGATTCGATGTCCTTGGAGAACCACTCGTTGAACTCGTCGTGCGAGTCAAAGAGCGTGGGCATAATGAAGTGCAGCAGGGCCCACAGCTCGGCCATGCTGTTCTGGATGGGCGTGCCGCTGAGCAGCAGCCGATTGCGGCAGCTGAAGCCCAGCAGCAGCTTCCAGCGCTGCGAGGTGGCGCTCTTGATCGCCTGCGCCTCGTCCAGCACCATATACTGCCACTTGATGCGATTGAAGTACTTGTAGTCGCTCACAACCAGCTGGTAGGAGGTGATCACCACATGGAAGCTGGCGTCGCGGGTGTGCAGATGCTTCTGGTCCCAGAACTGGCGCAAAATCTTTCGCTCGCTGGGCGAGCCCCAGTACGGCACCACATTGAAGTCGGGCACAAAGCGCGACATCTCCTGCTGCCAGTTGTGCAGCGTGGAGGCGGGGGAGATGATCAGAAAGGGTCCCCACACCCCGTAATGCTCGGCAATGTGGCACAGGAAGGCTATGGACTGCACGGTCTTGCCCAGACCCATCTCGTCGGCGAGAATGCCGCTGATCCCCTGGTCGTAGATGTTCGCCAGCCATGTCATGCCCTTGATCTGATAGCCTTTGAGTGTGCCCTTGAACATTTGCGGCTGTGGCAGGTCCTTCATCTCGGGACGCGCCTCTGGCTCCAGGTCCGCCTCCTCCTCCTCTTCCTTCTTGGCAAACACATCGAAGGCCTCCATGGCTTCCTCCTCGTTGTCGTCGCACTCCTCCTGCTTCCTCCTGTCGTCCTTGGGGAACACATCAAAGGCTCGCGTCTTGTCCAAATCCCTTTGCATGGCCGCCTCGGCATGCTCCTTGGCCAGCTGCTTCATCTCGCCCGGACCGTAGTCATCTGGGACGGCCAGTCGTGCGTTCGTCTCCTCATCCAGCTGGCTGAGAATCCTCAGCTGATCCTCCTCCGTGCCCTGGCCCAGCTTCTTGGACATAAAGTGCGCGTACAGCTCAGTTTGGGTGATCAAAAAGTTGAGTTTCCGCTGCTGGCGCTTCACCTCGATCAGCTCGACATCCTGCTTGCGCTGCTCCTCCGCCTCGCGCTCCTGCTTGCGCTTCTGGTCGCGTTCCACGCGCTCGTAGCGCTTCCAGTAGGCGAGCATTTCGCGGGTGAGACGCTTTGCCCGCCACACCGTCTCCTTCATGATGCGCTGCGAGTTGATGGCCCGCTGGCGCACCACCTTGGAGCACATGGAGGCCACACGCTTGCAGTTGGCCAGAATCTCCTTGTGGTTGTTGCTGGTGATCCGCTGCAGCCGGCCGCACTCCTTCTTCGACATGATCTGCCAAATGCGGCGACGTCGCGCCGCCAATGCGGCGGGATTCTTGCGCTTGCGACGTACTTTGGTCACCTGCCCATCGGCACCGCCCACCACATCCACCTCCTCCTCGATCTCCTCCTCCTCGGGAAAGTCCAAGGCGAGGCTGGCCAGCTCCCGCTTGTAGTCGACCTCGCCATTGTCGTCGTCCTCCTCGTCATTGGTGGGCAGCGTATCCCCATAGGTGTACCTGCCCAGCTCCGAGGGCGGCACCTCCCCGGACTCTGGCGAGTCCATGATGGTCGTTTGCTTCTTGCGACCGCGTCGCTTCTGCTGCTTCGGCAGCTTGGGCGCCTGTGCCTCTGCCAGGCGGGCCATGAGTATCTCCTGCTTGGTGCGACGCCTGCGCTTGCGCACACCCGCCGTGGCCTGCTGCCGTTCGGCATAGATGTCATGATTGGACAGCAGACTGCTGCCATAGTACGCATATTGGGCATTCTAGGAGAGCAGAGAGAGAGAGAAAGAGAGAGGATTAGCAGCAGTTCGCGGAGATGTACCGTGGGGTCATCTCTCCTACCGTTGGCTTCTTGTAGTAATTCTTGCGCTGTCGCTGCTCGCGTATGTGCTCGCGCAGTATCTGATGGATGTACTCGTCCTCGTTGGTGATCGGTTCATCGCTTTCCGTGTCGCTCAGCAGGAGGTCGTACAGCCATTCCCTGTCGCTGGTCAGATCATTGAAGTTATACAGCTGCGCCTTGACGCTCTGCCGTTCTGTGAAAAAGCACGAAATCAATGCCAGACCCTCCCTGTGCCCCTTTCTTGCCCTCTCACTCACCTTCCTTGCTGCAGAAGAGCCGCTTCTTGCAGCGCTGCGACGCCTTCTTGTACTTGACCACGCCCACCGTGGAGGAGTCATCGGAATCCGTTTCGGGCTCATCTTTAAGCTCTGGCAGCCCCGTGTCCGTGTCGCTGTCCTCGTTGCTGCTGCTCAGCGGCTGCTTCAACACCCGCTTAGCCATTTCCATGAAGGGCCGCATATTGAGGGCCACCTCCAGGCGCTGTATGTGCGGTGGTTCGGCCATGATGCGAGGCTTAATGTCTCTGCTGCTGGCCATGGCTCTGAGCTGTTTTGAGTCAGCTTTTATGCGCAATTATCACGTAATTGCAAAATTATTCGCCATGCGTCCGTCCCCAGCGTAAACAATGCGTTGGTGTGACCAAAGTGTGTGCCGGCATATCAAAATCCCTCAGAAATATCCCGAAATATACCGTACATTTTATTTCAAAATACCAATAGCTGCGTATCGATATCACAGCGATAACATAAACATTGAATGGCAAAAGAACAACAGTTGGTATTTGGCAAAAATGTGGCGTTTAAATTTGATAAAAGAAATTGCCGATCAGGCCAATTGGATTATTTCCTCGGATGTGGGCATAGTCATAGCCGACAAGTATCCGAAGGCTCAACACCACTATCTGGTGCTGCCCAAGTCTGAAATTTCGAGTATTTTTGAGGTAAGCCCCAGTCCCATGGCAATGCAATTGAAATTTAAGTTTTGGATGTTGTTTTTTTATGTTTGTAGCTAACCCGCGAGCATTTGCCGCTCTTGGAGGAACTGCATCTGCTGGCCAGCAACATTGTCGAGGTGCGCGGCCTGCAGTGGGCAGACTTTAAGGTCGGTTTCCATGCTGAACCGAGCATGGAGCGTCTGCATTTGCATGTGATATCCCAGGATTTTGTGTCGCCTGCCCTAAAACACAAAAAGCATTGGAACTGCTTCAACACTCAATTGTTTGTGCCATACGCAGGTATGTAAAGCGGACCCCCAATTGGACACATCAATCCAAGATTTGAATTCCATTGTGCTTGCAGTGCTGCACGACAAGCTAAAAGCGGAAAACAGTTTCCAGCGCCTGCCGCCACATGTGAGGCATTCATTGCTGGCCACGCCGCTCCTCTGCAATCAATGCGACTTTAAGCCCAAATATTTTCCCGAGTTAAAGGAACATTTGGCGGAGCATCTGCAAAAAAAAAGTACATAGAATTTGACGAGCGTCATACCGGTATAGTATGAAACACACAAACGCAACGATAGATTCTTGTTAGTATTGGTGGCACACGTACCGCAAATCGTTTCTCTGCTGCAGCGTTGACACCGATTCGATTATTAAAGCATGCCGGAGCATATATTTGCCTCTCACTCTCACTGCACAAGTTTTCTATTGCTGGTCGTCTCTGTTTTTGCAAAAACCTAGTGTCATACGGCCATAATGAACCACTTCTAGTATGACGCTGGTTCGCTTAAAGAAGTTAAAGATTTAGTGACTCATGAATATTTTCTTTCCGGCATGCAGGCGGAGAACCAAAAAGTGTGATTTACACGAAAATCGAAACATCTAAAGACAAAATAAACAAAATGGACGCAAAAGAAAGGAATGAACGCAAAAAAGAGAATATAATACAGAATATACGCAACGAGCTGAAGAAGAAGATCAGCAACAAGGAGCACTTGCTCATCGAAAGCGACCGGGCGGTGGTGGTGAAGGCCGACTATCCGAAGGCTCAGTATCACTTTCGTGTGGTGGCCAAAGAGGATATCGCGGATGTGACCAAGGTGAGAAGACCATGGCCACCAATTTTGGGCTCAGTCTCAGCATATTAATGGTTTTTGGTTTTGCCCCCAGCTGTCCAGCGATCATCTGCCGCTGCTGGACCACATGATGGACCTGGCCGTGCAGATTATCGAGAAGCAGGACCACCTGCCGTCTCGCAACTTTCGCATTGGCTTCAAGGCGGACCCATTTTGGGATCGGCTGAACATGCACGTAATTTCCGATGACTTCTACTCGCAGTCGATGAAGCGCATCAAGCACTGGAACAGCTTCAACACGGAGCTCTTTATGCCGTTTCAGCAGGCCTACATAATGCTGAGCTCTGAGGGCGCCATCGAGCCCCTCTCCGAGGAGGAGTCCGAAAAGCTGAAGTTTCAAGTGCCTCTCCACTGCAATCAGTGCGACTTTGAATCCCCATTGTTGTTGGGCCTGAAGGCCCATCTCTACACCCATTGGCAGCAAAAGGAGTCCGAGCGTCAGACAAATAAGAAAATGGAAAAAATTGTCAAGTTGTTGGACGAAGCCAAGTTGGAGGACAACGCCAAGCCGGAAGCTGCATCGCTCGAGGAGCCAGCGATCAGCTCCAGCACCAGCGCCAGCTCCAGCACCAGTGAGAATTTGTACGGGCCAACTGTAAACCTGATGAATCGGGAGAACATCAATAACCCATTTAGAGGCACGCCGCCACGCTTCGGGATTGCTGCGGCGCCAGTGCCACAGCGAGCCGGCAACCCTTTCGGCTATGCGCCGCGTCCACAGCGGGCCGGCAACCCCTTCGCACGTGCGCCGCGTCCACGGCAGGGTGTTTACTCCTACGGATATTCGCCGCGTCCACAGCAGGGCGGACCGCCAACACAGCCATTTGGTAATTTTCACCCCAATATGGTTATGGTGTCTGCGCCCATGGGCCCGCCTAGGTTTCCCCCACCAAACCCGCAGCCTCTGATGGATCCAAATACAGTATTTGCACAACTGAACCAGCAGCATAGATTTGCTAGAAACATTCAACAGAACCAGCGGCCTCGTGGCCCACATCCACAACAGAACCAGCGGCCTCGTGGCCCACATCCACAACAGCACCAGCGGCCCCGAGTCCCAAATTATCATCAGAATCAGGTGGCTCGTGCTCCAAATGAACCATCGGGTGGTCCATCTGTGCCTCGTGCTCCATGTTCACCAGAGAAGCAACCCCAGAACCCACCACAGCTCACGTATGATCCAAACCAAACGGGATTCCCACCGAAAAACAAACCCAAATACTATAAAAAAAAACCAGCTGCAAATGCGGGCAAGCCTGCATCCAAGTAGGGAATGAATCGATCTTGCAAGCAAGCTGAAAGCTGCCTGCCAGTGTGTCTTCTAAATGGTAACAAAATCTATAATTGTTAATTACTTAATACTGAATCAACAGACTCGACTCTTGCAAAGAACGAAATAATATATATTGAATATATATGATCAAACCAAAACGAAACGAAAACTCATACAGGAAACATTTACAAGAGCAAATTACATTTAAAACAGCATTTTCATTTGTATGCTTAAGGAACGCATTTAATTTAAGGTTCATTCCAATTCCCATCAGATTCTATGCCAAAAATATAAATTCCTTAAAGAATCGAAAATATTACAAACTATATTACAAATACTATTTTTTTATGTAATTATTTGCATGCTTAAATGGCAATAAATATCAGACATTAATGCTGAACTTTAAGCTGACATTTACATGGTGATACTCGTATCATGTGAATCCTCATTTAATTCCAGGAGTGAAGCAAGACACCCACCTGAAACATCATTTGGAAATGTTCAATTGCTGGATGCAGTAGCAGATGGTGGATGGGTTTGGGCTGTTTGGGCTCGCTGTGCAACTTTAAACCGTTATTAAATTATAGTTCAGATTATGAAAAAGTGAAGAAAGTTTCCCTGGTATTCGCTTGGGCGATTATCATTTGTTTTAAGCGCAGGAATATAAAGCCAAGGAAAACTGTCTGTCAAAAGCTTACTATTTTCTCTAGGCCTTAGTCCCGCTTAATTATGGCCAAATTTTCCATAAACTTTACTACTTTACAGTGCGGAACATTCGCTTGAGAGGCAACTAATCCACAGCCTGCCACTCCCATGTAGCCATGGAATAGCAACGGAGACCCATAAACTAAATTCAAGGTATCAGCAGCCCTGAGACAGACACACACAGAGTGGCTCCTGCCTGCTGCCGTTCTGTACGCAATTTAAATTCTCCTCGACATTTTTTAGTGTGTCACAGTGTCAAGGTGCCAGTGCCAGTGCCAGTACCAAAGCGCTGAAAGCTAACACATCCTCACCACCTCTCACCCCGCATCGATATGGTTTTCGGGGGTGAACTTCGAGCAATCAACAGCTCCATTAAAGCTATCTCTCTCTATATTTCTCTCCCGTTGGAGCGAGCACCGTGTTACCACCTGTTATGTCTCGAGCAACAGGAGGCCATTCATAAAGGACGTTACTTTCGAGCCAAAGAGAGCGAGCGCAAAAAGCTTTCGTTCAGGGGTAGCAAAGAGCATTGAGTGGGCTGTGGAGTGGCTTTGCCAGGCGCATGCTCGCAGACTTCAAAGCTTTTGAAATTTGAGAAAAGTTTTTAAGGTAAATGTCATAGCAGAAAGAAATGTTGCTTGTTACTTTATTTTTCAACATTTTGTTGAAAATGAATAAAATTGTACTGTTAATTCGTTACATATTTAAATATACATAATTTAAAATATTTTTGGTTAAACAAAAATGCTGAGAAATATATAAGAAAATGTTGTCATAAAGGGGAATTATTTTATGCCCAATAATTACTCAAGACCTAAGTTTAAAATTCTGAATAATTTTATTTTTAATTAATATTTTCCCAAAAATGTTTCCGGGTTAATGCAATTTCTTTCGCTTTCTCTTAAAGAGCAACCTTTTGAAATTTTTGTGTATTTTAAATTCTTTGGCCCGATTTTTCTTTTTAAATATTCATAAAAAAAATACTGGACCTGGAGTGGAGAGTGCACCACATGCGTGCACATGGAACTGTGTTCCCATTCACGTATAAAATGTTATTTATATGCTGATGATTTTTCGCAAGCTCGTCGCGCCATTCGGATTGGGGTTTCATGTGGAATAATCCTTTTCACTGGCATTACTCGAAATCGGAAACACAACCAACCCCCTCCCAGACAAGGGAATATAATGCCACAGAGCGCGGCTCAACATCGATTGTACGATTTAAGCAATTTGCACTTTGTGTGGGAAACTGTGGAGGAGAAACTTCAATGGCGTCAACGAGCCTCAATAATAACACTCGTAACTTCTCATAGCCGCCCCCCACATTATCGTTAAGCGTCGCAAACAATGGAAACAAAGTTATGGTATTATGGATTTTTGGTTTGGACTGAAGGATACCCACCATGGGGCCCGGCATACTCTTTTAGTCTCGTATGTCCCTGAGGAGCACTTAAAGCAGGAGCCTCTTGGCTCCTTCTCTTGCATAACTTTACACTGTTTGACTTACGCTTCCGCACGCCAGACGTTTCCCTGCCAATGCACAACACATGCACTGACATGCTCCAGGAAGACTCCTGCGATGCATCGCTTGGTGCTTTTGCATATCATTCAGCTCCTCTTCCCTTTGCTACTCCTGCCATTGTCCTCTTCCTTACGGCTTGTGGGGTCGTATGAGTAATATGCCAATTACACATTTTTTGCATTCTCCTGTTGCTTGTTCGCCTCGATTCTTCTTTTTTATGCTCCTCTCACTCCCCTCTACCGCCCCTTTTTTTCTGTGTCAACGCTGTAAAAATATTTTTTATGCGTATGGCATCGCAGGGCATCGCAGGGCAGGGCAGGTATGGGGCTGATTCCTCAGGTACAGCGCGTATACGAGGTGATGGCCTCAAGCGGCTTTTAGCCGGCTAAGCTTTAGCTGAAAAGGTGAAAGTAGTAAAATGTTTACAGCTTCTAAAAACAAAAACCAAAAACGAAAAAGACGAATAAATCGCAGCTTGGAAATAGAGAAATGCATATATCATTTTTATGGCTATTTTTTGTACGAATATTACTTGACGGATTTGGTGGATATAACATTGATATGACGTGCTGATACCCAAACTATTTTTATTCTCACTTTAGCATTCACACCTTGAGCTAGTACACCGAACTTTTGTTCGCATTAAATATGCATTCATTCATATCCATATCCATATCCATTCATAGGGGTCCGTTGGGCGCCTATAAAAACTTTTGCATAGCCCTAGAATATTTTCAGTAAGCAACATGCAGTGTCTCCCTTTAGTACTGTTATGGCTACCACAACTATTGGCTGTCCATAATCCTTATAAAATAAATCTACAACTGCTCTTGCAGGAGCCCAGCTCCGGATCCTATACCAAAAACGATGCCATTTCGGTTGAAGAACTTTGGCTGCCGCAAAAAGTGGATCATTTCGATGCACTCAACAATCAGACATGGCAGATGGTAAAAACTTCTATATTTGATATGCCATAATACATAGAAAACATTTATCTTTATAGCGCTATTTACGCAATGGCAAATATCATAGAAATCAAGGACCCATCTACATATTTGTGGGCGGCGAATGGAGCATAAGTCCAGGCTTTCTGGTCACTGGTCTCACCCACGACATGGCTGTGGAAAATTCGGGCATGCTGTTCTACACCGAACATCGTTACTATGGCCAGAGTTTGCCCCATGGGTGGGTGGAAAAAACCCCAACACTTTATAGATATTTTAATTGTGTTCTATTAGAGAGCAGAGCTTTGAGGTGGATCAACTGAAGCATTTGAGTATCTATCAGTCCCTGGCAGATTTGGCTCACTTTATACGCTACCAAAAGTCGCAGAATCCGCGCATGAAAGAGTCAAAGGTCATATTGGTGGGTGGCTCCTACGCGGGCAGCATGGTGGCCTGGATGACACAGCTATATCCCGATTTGATAGCCGCCAGTTGGGCGTCAAGTGCTCCACTGCTGGCCAAAGCGGATTTTTATGGTGGGTTTTGACCTCTAAGCGGTACCCTCCGCTCTGCCAAGGAGTTGCTCTTATCTTTCAGCTTCTTTCAGAGTACATGGAAGTGGTTAGCCAATCGATTCGCCTAAGCTATGGTCAAAATTGTTCCACCAGAATTCAAAAGGGTTTCCATTACCTGGCGAAGTTGTTTACCGAAAATCAGATATTGGAATTACTGCGAAAACTCAATGGCTGTGAGGAGTACGATCCCAACGATGTGCTGGATAGAGCTGCCTTTTTCAATGGTCTGGGCAACTATTTTGCATTGATAGTGCAGAGTTATAGGTACGGAATTAATATTAAAAGCAACCCTATATCGGCATTAATTGTGTTCCCCTTTTCAGTTCATATATTCCACAGCTTTGTGAGACTTTAATGTCGCTGCATGCCAATGATGAGGTGGCCTTTGAGGGTTTCCTGGCTCTACTCTTTGCAGAGGGCAGACGGTCTACGGATTGCCAGGACTTTGGCTATGCGGCCATGCTGCAGCTATTCAGCGATCCAATTTCAGGCAGTAAGTAACAAAAATACTCCAAAAGATCCAAACAGAAGCCACTTCTGCTCTCTCCCTCTCTCTCACAGTTCGTGCCTGGTTCTATCAGACATGCAATGAATTTGGCTGGTACAGCACAACAGCCAGCGCCACAGGCACATCTATAGACACAACCAATTCATCATTGGGCGCCACGTGGAGTACCTTTGCCAATCAAGTGCCTTTGTCCTACTACGAGCGCCTCTGTTTGGATGCCTTTGGTCCGGCGCAGACACGGGAACGGCTGGACCAGGGCATTGAGCAGACCAACAATCAGTTCGGTGGCTTTCAGTTCAATCAGAGTGTGCGCTATGGCAGGGTATTCTTTACGCACGGCCAGCTGGATCCATGGCGCTCTTTGGGCAAGCAAAATGGCAATCAGGCGATTGTCTTGAGGCGTAAGTGAGGCACCCCTGAAACCCCCTGTGTATACTCTCTCTCTGCTCACCCACACAGGCTACTCGCATTGCGAGGACCTGGGCAGCATTCAAGTGCGGGACAGCGTGCAAATGAATCTGGCCAAGCTGCGTGTGATGTCCTTTCTGCGTCGTCACACACGGTATACTGCTCATTCATAAATTATTGAAATAAACATAAAAGTCTCGGGTGTTGCACTAATTTGAAAGTTCTCCTTTGCCTTTGTCAACAAGTGAATAGGAGATGTGCTGCGTTGTCCTGTCTGCCTCGAGTGTGTCAACAATTTTGCCTGTTGATTAAGGAAATTGCACTTACGCTCTGACCTGTGGCCTCTCTGGCTTGTTGCCTCTCTGGCTTGTTGCCTCTTTGGGTTGTGCATTTTCCCTGCTTTTGTTTGTCTTGGCTTGATTGGTTGATTAAGGATCCTGCCACATACTCCACGTACTCCTAACTGACGTTTACTTTAAGGTCAAATTTATGTCTATTCGAATTTCTAACGCTTACCCAAAGCTCTTCTAGTAATGCTGCTCCAACTCAAAATCCTCCTCCTACCCAACCATTTTTATTCTATTCGCCTTTTTGAGTGCAACGCCAACGCTTTGTGGTCGTCGTCGAATCAGCGTCACCTTCTGCTGTGCGTGGGCGCCTGGGACTCGGAGGCTCCAAACTATTGGACACATTCTCACACACACACACACAAACACAGGACTCAATGGGAGCAGTACTCACATTGCTGCGTGGGCTGTGGTAATGGGGCGGGCCGGCTTTTGGCTCTGGCTCTGACTCTGACTCGAGCGCTCTTTCACTCGTAATTTATTTACATTTCCCTTAGCTGCGAGTGAGTGTTTTTTCCTCCCAGCGATGCTGCGTTGTGTGTGTCTGTAGGTTTTTCTTACTAATTAATATTTGTTGCTCCATTCATTTGGTAAATTACGGGCAGTCTTATGTGCTGTGTGCTGTGTGCTGTGCGCCAAGTGGCCAAAGGATTAGCAGCGTGCTGCATGGTGTCCTTGAGTGCTGTGCGTCTGTTTGCCTTCTAGGATGAGAGATTAAGCGCAAGTTTCCATGAAGCATAAGCAGATGTGAAGCAAAGTAAAGACAACAAATTGCTAGGAAAAAGTTTTCTTTCAAGGCATATAGACTTTGACTTTGCTGTTGCCATGTTTTCCTTTACAGCTCGTTAACAATCTCTAAATGTTGACATTTAGGCACTCATGGCAGCCTCGCAACTAATTGAAACATAATCCACTCAATTTGTTTACCCAAACGTATCAGTTTCCAACAAGTTTTGAGCCCCATACCCCCGAAAACTGCTGAACCGCTCCTGCCGCCGATGTCACTGCCAAACAGCAAACAAACCAAGAACCAGCCGCATGGCAGGTGCGGTGCTCCAGTGCCCTGCGAGTGGCATTGAGCGCGAGCAGCAACCACAGAGCATGGTTGCCATTCGCACTCCACTCAAAGCCCCACTGCGTAGGCGTTGAGTCCTTATAAAAGTCGCTGGCAAAGCGCTCAACGCTTCAGTCGAGTTTGAAACTTACACTCAAGCGGAGTTGTAAATAGTTGTTCGAGTTGTTGGCTCGTACTCAAACGTACTGTAACGCCACCATCAAAATATAATATTAATAAAATAAAATAAATTAAATAAAATACTTTATACATTAGCCATGAAAAAAAAAAACAACAGGATTTCCATCTGCCGCGTGTGTGTGTGTGTTTGTGTGTGTTAAGGACTTGTTTTTGTTTATCAAAAGTGACTTTGAAAACTCTTCTGTGTTTTACCCACGGAAACGGCGAAAAATTCACACAAAATTTCAGCTGCAAAAGAAAACTCTCGGGTGTGCCTGTGTGTGTGTGTTTTTGTGTGTGCGGAAAATGGTTCTTCATTACCTTTAGGCTTTTCCTACACTCTGTTGCTCGGTTTGTAGGCTTTTCGGCGGCACCCACCCCCACTCACTCACTCTCTGTGGCTGGTTTTTCTTGGGGTTTTTGTTTTTTTTTTTTGCTGTTTGGAAGCCTCGTTAGTCCTGGCCTCCCGTTCCCATGCAGGGCTTCCTGGCTGCTTTTAGGCCGTGTTCTCATGCCTCACATTGCGTATACGCTGCGTAACCATGATTAAAGTTGATTCTACGGCGTGTTCTCATGCTTCGAATTGAGTGTACACCACGTGCACAGCTCCTCTTGCCTCACATTGCGTATAGCCGTGACTTACGATGAGTTTCCGCCGTGCTTGCCTGCCGTATTTCCATGCCGCACACTCACATTGCGCATACGGGTGTATAGCCAAGATTGACATTGCCGTTTATGCCTTGTCTCCATTGCTTCTCATTGCCTTCACCTGGCCCCTGTCTAGTCTCTGCATTCCATTCCTCCATTTCTCTCATTGCGTATACGCCGTGTGTGTGTGTGCTTTGAATAACAACACGCAGTTGTTGATTGTTACCCCAACTTCCTGCGGCACATGGCACATGGCACACAGCACTCTCCCTTTTTTTCTCTTCTGGGATCTGCTGTTAAATTATGCATTAAGAAAACCCCAAGCCAACCCCCATACACCCCCACACAGACGCAAAAAAATGAAATATAAAGAAAAGAAATGCTTCTAAAATGCTGCCTGTTGTCGTTGCCGTTGTCTGGGGGTGTCCGCCCTGGCTCGACCGACCAACCGTATAGTACGAGTAAATTATGCAAATTAATGTTTGTTTGTGATTTGGGCTCCTCGCATTTGCGAGTCGCCGCTTTACGTTTGAGGCCGTAAAAGATTTTCAGGATTTTTATTTAGGTTGTAGCTAAAAAAAATTTATTGTATCTTTGCAAAGTCTTTAAAAATTGTAGGCGACAAATGCGGGAAAAGAAAAGGAGGGAGTTTTTCTTTGGGAGCCCGAAATAATAGCGTATAAGCCCTGGCTTGTGTTTTGGCAGCTAAAAATATAGTTTGCAGACCAGAAAAACGTTGACAAAGATACGAGTATTTGTAAGACTTGATTTCTTGGGTACAAAGTTTTTTGCTTATATTTTTCTTAGAACTCAGCATAAATCATCGAGAAATAATTACGAGCCGTGAAAACGTTGATTTTAATTGATTTTCTTCAATAAAAATATTCCACAAATTACTTTTGGCTGATGGAACTTATCTGTATAATATTTTCCAAGCATTTCTGTGAACCCAAAGTCCTTGTAAATCAACCTGTAAAAGTGCAGTTTTTCAGCAATAAAAGCTTTACCCCAAAACCAATTTTAATTGCGTGGTAAATCTTTCTTTCGCGATTTTTTCGTTTTTTAACAAATTGGTTTTTGCTCTTTTGCTCGACCTACGACAGCCCAACCCCACAGTCGATAGATACTTGCGAGTATTCGAGCAATTTGTGCCGCCTTATTTGGCCACATTTTCGGCACCTTGGCCATAATTCACTTAACTTTTCTGTTGGCTCTGGCTGTGGCACGGGTTCTGCTCTGGCAATGCTTCTGTCTTTTAGCCTGGCTGTGACTCCGTCTCCGGCTACTCTGTGTTTGTGTGTAGGTCTCTGGTGGCTTATAACCAACATTTGGCTGCGGTTTTTAGTTCTCTCTCTCTCTCTGTTGGTGCGTGTTTGTGTGGGGATTCCCCCCATTTATGTTTCCTGTGGGGTGTTTATTAAATCGGTTGAGAGAAGCCAGAAGTTTCATTTTCAGTCTATTAAAGAATTTTTATGTTCATTGTCTTCCGTCTTTATTTTATTGGCTCGAGGGCTGGAGGTAGTTTATTTCTGCCAGGGAATTGTAACAAGATTTTACGGCTTCTCAGTCTCCAGGGGGAACAAGTGCTGAAACTTTTTTTGGTATGAAAAACATTTCACTGAAGTCTGTTTAAAATGCAGAAAAGTACGAAAAGTGTTGAAACTTTAATGGGAAATGGCTTTCCATTCGAAGAATCCTTTAGTCCCTAATAATTTTCTACTCATCCTTCAGGCAGCTCGAACGTGTTCAGGAAAATGATAGAGTGTCCGCCCGGAAAAACTCCGGCAAACGGAAAAGTACTAATTAAAAAGCTTTTGCCTGCTTGCCTGTTGGACGCTTCTTTCCTGTCTTTAACTTTTCCTCTGCTCTTCGCCTAATTGTGTGGCCCCAAAAACTTCACTCCCAAAAATCGTGTTGTCGTGTGTCCTTTTTTGATTGCCCCCAAAAAGTTGCAGCACTTTTTCAACTTTTTCCGTACACCCCAACACCCGAAAAAGGGCAACATAAAGGAAAGGAAAAAATAACGAAAGGGCTAACTTGGCTTTAATTAAAGGTTCGTCTATGTCTGGCACTCTCTCTGGCATATTCCCCTTTGGGTTGGGTTTTCCTTACTTTTTCGTATGTGTTTTGGGTGCTCCAGAGAGTCATTAAGAGTCGGTCGGGTATGTCGCTGGGACATCCATCTGAAAATTAAAGTGCAAAAGGGTTGTTGCTCCCACCCCCCAGTGTGCCCATAAAAACAAGCCACCTAAAATGAGCAAGGAAAAAGTTAAAGTTCGTTAAGCTGATTAGACGATGGCAACGGCCTCGAGTTGCTTTGCCATGCAAATTGCCACCAAAAGGATACTTTGGATGATCCCGGGTGTTGACTTCTGCTGAGGTCTCTTTATTAAATGTTTCACTTGCTCTTTTGAGCGAGATATCTGATATTCAGTTGCTCTTTTTATGGGGCTGAGCGTTGCGCCTTTAATGGTTTAACTTTTAAGGGAAAAATCTGGTCTTACGATGTAAAATTTAAGTGGAAATGGAGAAAGAAATAAAGGGTATTTTAAGTATTTATATAAGATCCCCAACAAAATATTATAGACCTCCAAAAAATTTCAAACAACCAAAAACTAAGTTCCAACTAATTTCCTGTTTTTGTTATGCTCTTCTCTTTGCAGTGTAGAAAAATGTAAAAAGTCGACTAAAAACATATATCTATATATATACATATAAATATTTGTTTGCCTGCAGAAATTCTTTTAAAATTTTTAAGTTCAACGACAAAACGACAAAAAAAGAAACCAACAAAACGAAAAAACGAATACGAATACGAAAGTTAAGGCTTGCTAAAATACAATATATGTAAAACGTAGAAAGCAACGTAGTAAACGAAACTATATAGGAAAGTAGCAAAAAACGAAGAGAGGACGAGGACGAAACGGAGAAGAAGACAAGAGGCTAATTCCTGGTGCGTATAACTCCATTAGAGGGACGATTAGCATAGTCAAGGACGAAACGCAACGGAGAAGTGCCAGTGCCAACGATAATTCAATCAAAGAGCCGGCAAGGAATCATTCTCCGCCTGCTACCGCTTAGAAACTGCTTCTGCAGCTGAACGAACTGGAAAACAAACTGCGGGAGGAAAACTCCATCACAACACTCGGATAAAGTGGAAAACGTGTGCGTGCGCGTGTGAAAAAGTTTTGCTCTGACCCGGCCGGGTATCTGGTAACTGCTGCACCACTCCCTCCTCCCCGGGCATCAGCAGGGCGAGTGTTTTAATTTGAACACTTGGCAAGTTTCCCTCTGTTCCTCCGACCATCGTCCTTTTGCCTTGTTCATTCGGGAAAATGGACCGTCACCGACATCGCCATCGCCTCAGCATGTGGCCCACATTCGCCGTCTGCCTGCTGCTCCTGCAGGCAACCACAACCACGATGGCCATCGATCTGAGTCGCCTCTACGGCCACATGGCCAATCCGGTGCAGAAGCGTAGCGGTGAGTACCCACCAGTACCCCCCAGTAGTAGTACCTATCTAATCGAACCGTAACTCCTGTAATTTCATTGTGGGGTAGCTCATTAATAAGCGCACAACTGGCACACACACACACACATCTGAGCTGTGTGGCATGTGTGCTGTGGAGGCTGTGGAGGGCTAATGTGTGCCCTTTTGGCTGGTAGGGTAACGTGATTATGACTTGACATTTGAAAGGTTAAAGGTTAGGCAAAGGTACAAGAAGGCCAGCACATGCCATGCCATAAATATCAAATCTCTGCCTTAGTTGAAATGATTTTTAAAATAATTTTAAAGACAGTTTCTTAATCGGTTTAATTGGATTATTCGTTGTGAATTAATTGAATTATTCGTCGTGCATATTCGTCGTTTGTTTCGTGCATTAATTATGAATTATGCAGCGAGCCTTAACCAGTGATTGTGTTTGGTCTCCTGTTCTATGTGGCTGCATTCAATTACAATTTTCGTTTCTTGTATTTTTGTTTTGTTGCTCAGATCTGAGGTTCTGGTGGATCTCCTCCATCGTTATTGTCGCGAACTATTGGCACTAGTTTAAAGAATTTACCATTTAAATCATGCTGCTCCACCCATTCATAATCCTCTGCATCATAATTCAATTCAAGGATAGCTAACTGCTCCTCTCGGTGCTGTTGCTCTTCTTGGGTTTCAGCCATCGATAGGTTCTGAGCCTGCTCGTTTTCAATCGCCAATGGATCCTGTTCCTCATGATTTGCACAAGACGTCACTGGATGCTCTTGCTCCTGAACAGCAGCTTCTGCATTCCCTTCCTCCTGGACTGCAACTTCTGCATCCCCATCCTCCTGGTCTGCCACTTCTTCATTCTCTGTTTCCTCCTTGCTCTCTGACCATTGGGGTATGAGTTCAATACCCATATTGTTAGAAATAAATTAAATAAATTTATATTTTCAATTTCGACAAATTTTAGTTGTTTTTGGGGAGCTCTCTATAGACACACTGACATCTAGAAAGACGAAATCAAACCACACTAATAGCTGGGCCTGCTTTTTCAGTATTTCTTTGAGAATTTTTATTTTTAGTATTTAAAATTAGAGAGATAAAATGTGATTATACGTAGAAATGTATTGCCAGGTTATTTCATTGAGTGTGATTCCATTCTGTTACCCGTTCGAGTCATTAAATTTAAAGCCAGAATTGTGCATGTCCGATCGTGTCCGCAAACTCTGACTCCCGCTACCTGCTCTTCATTTCATGGGTGAGCTCTGCTTCTCCCACAAACACACACACAGGCATTGCGCTCTCCCAGCAATTCACTCGATCTTTTGAAAACAACAACAAAAGCTCAGCGCTGGACTCTCGCTCACTGGCCATGCTCTCACGCTCTCTATCTCTCTTGGATGAAGTGAAGCAAAAGCGAAGTAACTAACTAACTAACCTTCTATTTGTTGTGTATGTAGCTCCGTTTTTGTCTTTGTCGTTATTACATTTATGGCTTTACGTTTTCTGTATACCCTTCATTTCATATCTCCGACAGATGAAGAAACCAAACGAATGATCGCTCTATAAAGGGCATATAAACTTTGTAATTGCATTGAATCTGCATCTGTAAATATATTATATTATTGCTGATAATTCTGCAAGGGTATTTAAAGCGTTGGCTCTCGAATTTAGGTTTCCCTTTCTGTTGACTTTTTCTGGTCTGAACTTTTATTTACAAATTGACCTTCATTTGGGAGTAGGGTCCTCTATGTATTTATTTCGCTGTACAATTTGTATGCTCTCTCTCAGTGGCTGACTGTCTCTTATTTATTGCCCCATTTGTTCTACATATAATCCCATTAAATACAATTCCACTAGTTATACCCGTACTCAAAAAAGAGTTAAGGGGTATATTAGATTTGTGGTAAAAGTGGATGTGTGTAACGCAGAGAAGGAAACGTTTCCGACCCCATAAAGTATATATATTCTTGATCAGCATCAATAGCCGAGTCGATAAAGCCATGTCTGTCTGTCCGTCTGTCTGTCTGTCTGTCTGTCTGTCTGTCTGTCTGTCTGTCTCGATGAGCGCCTAGATCTCAGAGACTATAAGAGCTAGGGCAACCAAATTTGGTTTCCAGACTCATGTGATATCATACTGCTACAAGTGTATTTCAAAATTTCGCCCCGCTCCCTTCCGCCTCCACAAAGGACGAAAATCTGTGGCAGGCACAATTTTAAAGAAACGATAAAACTAAAAACGCAGTATCGTAGAGAATGCCCATATCTACCAGACTGCCGATTCTGAATCAGATCGGATCATAATTATAGCCAGAATGAAGAAATTAATTTTCAGTTGCTTCCCCTCCCCCTCCCGGCGAGACAACACAACTCATTTTGCTTCTCGCTCGCACACTCTGCCGCGTTCAGTGCGCGAGCATCCCCTAGCGGAGGAGATGTAGAATCAATGAATGGAACATGTACAATCTACATGTTAGATGTATAATAGACATTTTATATGTAGATGTAGATAGCATATGTAGCAAAAAAATGTAAAATGTAAAATTTTTTTATTTTTTTCTAAAATTCTAAAAAATCATAAGCTCAAAAGTGTATGTATATACTGACTGAGTACGGGTATAAGTAGAGTCGTGTCCCCAGAAACGACTCACACGTTCCTTCTCGTTTTTCTATACATCTCCCGCTCTTTTTAGGCTTTCCCCGAATTTGTTTCTATTTTATTTGCCCCCTTGCTATACTATTTTTTTCCTGTTAGATTTTCCTCTTGCTTTTTTTCGGTTGGCAGGTGAACTGCATAACAAATGTGCACGTGCTTTTGTATATTATATTATTTCTATGGCCAAAAGCATTCTTTCTGCTTTTCGTTTTCGTTTTCCCCTCAAAAAAAAAAACTTTCCCAGTTGCGTGTTTGATAGAAATCTTTTGGTTTTCTTTCGCTAAAGTTTTTGTGTAAATCGTGGTTTGGATTTTGTTTGAGAATTTTTTAATTGCCTTTCGAATGACTGGGTTTTTCCCGCGCTTTAACGTGGCTTTCCACATAAATTAATTAGCACCAACTGGAGACTTTTGATTTGTGGCATTTGGAAAATGTACAAAATTCTAGGACTAAATTATTTACTTGGTGAACCCTTCGCTACTACCGCTGCCCTTCATAAAACTAATTAACGCAAAAGTGTGCCAAATAAATGGCTAACTAAATATTTGCTGAACTTAATTTGTGGCATTTTCCATGGCTGGTGGGCGCACAAGTACGTAAAAGTGTACTCCAATTAGTCAGTCCCTCAATTGGCCATTAATTGCCACTTGCCAGCGCACGACATCGCATCTCATAAATATGCACAGCATAATTATTCTATTATACTAATTTCATGGATGCTCCATTAAACGCTTCTATCAGGCTTCATGCTGAAATAAACCCACCAATGAATTTATACGTTTTTATTTATTTATTTATTTTTTTTCTGCGGTCGCCTGCATTCGACATTTTGACAGCTTCGCTTCCTGGCCTTTGCACCTGCACCTGCTTCATTTCCTTCCTTATTTTTTTTCTACATACTACTATAAGTCAAATGCAGTAATTGCACTTAAGAGGAAGTCACTGGAATTCCAGAGAAATCCATTTTATTCTCGCAGCCAGCAAGTGGCCACGGAAGCCCATGGGGAAAACCTCAAGGCTATCAAAAGCAGTTTTTACACTGGACAGCATAAAAAGCAGAAGATGGGAGAGAAGAGTGAAAATTTTTATGGATTTATCCAAGTTACCTTAGACACCAACTGGCATAGTATCTCTTCCTTATTTCTTTCTTATTCCATGACACCTTTAGTGGCCCAAACAATTTCCATATCCAATCTGCTAACCAAAAATAAAATACAACCAAAAACCTCCCCTGGTGAAAATAAATTACAAAGAATTTGTATGCCCGAATAGAATAGAAACTTCAGCACAAGATAAAGTTGTAATACTCACTGCAGAGCAGTGTAATAATTTCAGTTTTCCCTGTCAGTGACAACATATTTTATGCTGCAATTTTCCGCCAAAGGAAACACAAAACTCACTGCGTTTTTCCTCCTTTAACTCTGCTTGGGTTTTTGGGTTCTGGGCTTCTGGGCTTCTGGTTTCTGGGTCGCCTGCTCACTTTATTTATTGTGGCCCGCTTTTGTATTCCGTGGCTTTTTGGCTTTTGTGACGGGACGATAACGAGACTCAACCCCAGCGTTCGCTTTGGTTGGTGGGTGGGATGGTGGTTGGACAGGTCGCAGGTCAGGTCATAATTTTGCAACAGAGCTCCCTTCGTCTGACGATCCATGTGGCAGTTAATAAATGTGCCACCAGCACTGGCCGCAGCAGCAGCAGCAACAGCACCAAAAGCCACTCGGAAAAGCAGCCACCGATGACAGCTTAAAAGGGTTTTCCAACGGTTTCCTTTTGACATTTCTTGCTATTGCTATTGTGAGTTTTTGTGGTAGGATTTGAAAGAAAGTTGATTGACAGACAGTTTTAAGTGAAAGTCATTCGACTGGGGGCCGAAAGTGGATCGCTCGCATGAATGTGACATTTTGATAAAATATTAATTCGATTTTCTTTGAGTTTTTGTGGCTGGTAATTTGTATTGAAACAAGTTAAGAAATTTTGCTAATTGACTTAAGTGGCACTGGAAAAGGGTTTTAATAATTCTATAATTAAATCAAAGCTGAAGCACAGAAATGTTTAAGGAAATTAATAGCAATCTTTTTTGATAAGTGCATCAAAATTCAACCAATTAAACACTAATGCAAGATGTATTTATTTTTGGGATAACTTGTCTGCCCTTTCAGCGAAAATTGTATTTTCTGTCTCCTCTTGATCTTGAATTGTTTTTCCATCTTCATTCATTAACATATCCGTATTGTTTTCTCATGAGCTTGCGCCTATCATTCGGCCTTAAATATTCATCAACTGGCATCGCCCTGGGCATCATAAATATTAACCGAATAATTAAATTAGTTTTAGTACTCCAACGAACGTAT